TTTGTAGTGATGTGACAATATATATATACCTCCTGATGAGTCAGTGAAACTCCGACGAAACAGTTTGTCACAGCCCCTCGTTTGTTGTCCTCTTCTCCCTCTCTGCCTACGGTTTACCGGGCAGTTCTATTTGACGATATATATACATATATATATATTTTTAAATTATTTTGGCCCGGCCGGGCAAGTGACCCCGGGCCACTCTGGTAGCCTAGGATGGCGTACCATTTTTTCACCTTTTCCTAGAGAAACGAATATCATGGGCTGAACACATACGAGCAGCTTGTCCCCATTGCTTAACCTAGCAGTTCACTTGCTGAGTGGCCTCCAGGAGAGGAGAAGACGAAGACGAAGATGAAGACGAAGACGAAGACGAAGACGAAGATGAAGATGAAGATGATGAAATATGAGGAGGAGGCCGCAAGAGGAGAAGACGACGACAACGACAACGGCAACGACGAAGACGAAGACGAAGACGAAGACGAGGACGAAGACGAAGACGAGGACGAAGACGAAGACGAAGATGATGAGGCGGCCGCATTAATTTTGAAAAGTGGGTCCTTGTCAGATTCAGGGTGAGAATACCAATGGGCCTAGCTCAGTTGGTACACCCACAAACTTTTAAAAGGAAAACCTGAGTTCGAATCCAGATGGAACTAGATGAATGAAATTCTTGAATTAGCTGGGGGCGGTCAGTTCTACAGTGAAGGCATCGCTTTTGAAAAAGACAAAACAAAAGCTTGAAGTTGAGAACAGCAGTGAAACGGAAGACTTGGAGCATAATTTATTTTTTGCTGCAATTTCTGCCAGATGCATTCCGGAGAGTGCCCGTCCACGTACACCCTCAGAATTGATGGGGCTCATCCAACTCACCAGTCATACTGCTTGGCTATAGTTTGGTTGGATGGGTGATTGCATTTTTTTGTCAGTTTATCTTATCTTGCTTCTTCTCAATGTGATGTGGCTCCATTCTACTCGACTAACAAGATGGGTGCAGGGGCGAAGCCTTACTTTGGTTATCCGGTGCCAGCCATTTTGGTCCGTGAGCACCAAACCCGGAAAGTTGCGGCTCGCATACAGCTCCACGCTTCCGATTTCGCCTGGGTGGCATGCATACCGCTCCACTCTTAGGATTTTGGCAGGGGAAGCGGTGGTAGTTTAAACCACCAGTACCTGGCCCATACATCGGTTGTCGTTAACGCCCCACAACTTGCGGAGGCTCGGGGTACCGGCCCTCAAAGGCTGGCACCGCCAGCCAAAACAATTTTTTCTTGTTGCGCTGGCGGGTTGGCGCGAACGGCACGCAGCCCGTTTTCAGGCTCGGCATCGATAGCTGGGCCAAGTACTGGTGGTTTAAAAAGGAGAAAAGAGCTCAAATCCTGTTGTTATGTGAAAACATGAGGGAGTATACTCGTTGGGAAACTCAAGTTATCCTCCTCCTTCAACGCACTTTTCTCCAAGGGCTATCCAATTTCTTTTCCCTCTTTTTTAACAGCAACAGCCTTGAGATATGACCATTCAACTGAGGGCGTACTCACACTAGCAGCATCTAAAAAGTGCATCTGACCGCATTCACGGCCATACCTGGATGTTTCTGGCTACAATTCCGTTCAAAAATAGGTTAAAAAGTGGTAGTGTGAGTATGCCCTGACAGGCCCCAGCATCAGGTTCAATGTAGATTCGAACTTAGTCTATGTTTCAATGGTTCAAGGGTGTACCAACTGCTCTACCCCGGTTGGTGACGGCTATCCAATCGACTCCGGTAGGCTTAGTGAATCTTTGAAAGATTGCCGGCGAAATTGTTTGCCAGCAATCTAGCAGTTCCAGCAGGGACTCGCTGGAATCTGCTCGATCACTCCCGCAATCTAGTTTGCCGGTCTCTGCTAGTCCCAGCAAGTGCCTGTCAGTCCCATGCCACAAGTCCCATTGCTGCAAGTCCAATGCTGCAAGTCCAACGCTGCAAGTCCAATGCTGCAAGTCACACAAGTCCAGTGCCACAAGTCCCATTGCTGCAAGTCCAAGGTGCAGGTCCCATGGCTTCTGTTCCCATGCTGCTGTTCCCACTGAACCCCATTGCTGGGAGTCCTGGCAAGTCCCAGTGAGTCCCAGCAAGGCTGCATGGCTGGATTGCTCCCATCAATTGCTCCGGATAAATATTGCAACCTTTTTTTGTGCCCAAGTCCCCGGAGCTCCATGAAGTCCCAGGGCTGTCCCAACAAATGATATTATAATAGAGATTGCTCCCTCACTTTCCAGTGTCATTGAACTCAAGGAAGTCTGAAACACGGTCCCGAAAAGTGATGCGGGGACTCACTGGGATGTGATGAGACTCTACCAGGTTCCATCTCAGTCCCAGCATGACTGGAGCGCAATGCCTCTTCAGAATGGAGGGCCTACCCCCGTCTTCGCCCCTTTTGAATAATAAAGCTTCTGCAACTTTGTGCTTCTTCTTTTCACAGTGATAACGTGAGGAGGGCAAGGTAAAGAGGACAAGGTGGAGGGGGGGTGGAGGGGGGAGGCATAAAGAGGACAAGGTGGTGTGGGGGGAATGTTGTGTTAATGCTCCGTGTGGCGGCGCATGGAACAACCAGATGATAATGGAGTTGACGATGATCATGACGACCATGATGATAATGATGATTGTTGAAGTCCCTTTGATGACGACCAACAGTCAATGACAACAACAAGAATAGTTATGTGCCCTCAGTGGTTTTGTACCAGCCCAAGGGACCATGTACTCCTATCATTTACTCAATCCTATTCTACACCGAGCGACATGCTCCAGAGTACCATGCCACTTTCATGTTACTTTGCTGGAGCCTCCTTTGCAATAAACTCAGTTCAGATCCACATTGCCGCGGGCATGGGTCGTAACTTTTGGTCAAAGGGCCAGAAACAGGGGTCAACGGTGTTACATGCTGCGCCTGCAAACGAGGGCCATTTTCAGGCCCTGGGTCGTTTCAGCCTGAAAGCCTGAAAACAATGGCCTACAGGCCCTGTGTCGTTTCAGCCTGAAAGCCTGAAAACAATGGCCTACAGGCCCTGTGTCGTTTCAGCCTAAAACAGGGACCTCCAGGCCCTGAGTCTTTTCAGCCTGAAACGAAGGGCCAAATTCAGGCCCTCATAAGATCGACCTGCCCTGAAACTCAGGCACCAGACCAGGGTTTTACCACAGGCCATTTTGGGCCTGTTTTCAAGACGACCTTTGTTTGAGCTTCAACGCCAGGGTCTGGCACTTTTTGGCATTGGCAAGAGCAGCCTCCTGGACGGGCCAGCACTATATAAAACTGGGCCGCCCTGCAGGCTGCAGGTAGTTCATCGGGACTTCCCAGGCACTTCACGTGCAGTTCAGGAGGCAGGAGGTAGTCTTCAGGATTCAGCAGCAGCACTCTGGAGGAGCGCTGCAGTAGTAGTAGTAGTAGTGTTAGCAGTAGTCTTCAGTTCTGGGCGCGAGTAGGAGCTAGAGTAGTACTGGAGAGAGAGAGAGATTGGGCGGAGGCCAGGGAGACTTACCTGCAGCGCCATAGCTCCAGCTTCGTCTTCGAGGTACCTGCAACACAGCGCCATCTTCACAGGTTAGTACCTGGCACATGAGAGAGAGAGAGAG